AATTTTCCTGTATCATGCGGACGTTTCAAAGGAATATCAGAAGCATGAAAATATTCAGGACACCATGGAGAAAATTTTGATCTGTATTTCAATAGCAGCTGTTATTATCGCACTTATACTTTTTTCAGCCTTAAGGTGAGAAATACTGCCCCTCTTGATTACAGCAGATCAACCGTCAACGTAGGGTAAGGCGAGCTGTTTACGATTCGTGTACATCTCACCGCAGCCGATGAAAGTTTAGTCGCCATAAAAAAAAGGCTATGGTCTTAATGATGCAAAACGAGTGGATCTTGTATTCACTGGTACCCGTACCCATATGTCAACTCACGCCTCCTTTACAAGGGTAGTGGGGTATGGGATAACCGCAACGCGGCTTTAAAAAGGCTTTAACAAATTTGGAATAGATTTACATGGAAGTAATCAGTCTAACAATCTGAATAGTTATTTTAAGACAGCAGTTGTTTTTCGATTGGGCTGGAAAGCTCTCAAAACTCAAAAAGCTAAATCACGTGGTAAATACTGGAACAAATTTTGACCTTATAAAATTAACTAAAAAAGATTAATATTATTTCTGCCACCCTAAAATTTCTTCTTCAAAATCCGGAAGCTTTCATTAGTTACTTTTATTTATTTCACAGATTGAAAAACTCTGAGCGCATATTTATACACAAGAGTCTTCTCGTGTCTCTGGGTGTTGGAAATCTGGTTTATGTTTTGGACATTTCCTTTTTTTCAACGAGAGAGGAAAATGTAGTAAGTAAAAGATTTTATTATCCCCTTTACTTCGAGCGATTTTCAATTTTATTCAGCATTTTTTGTCAGATTTGGTACTTTTAATGCTCAAAAGTAGATTTTCCCAAAACACTTGGTACATGAACTTCTATTAACCCATTTGCTCTTGGAAATTTTACTTTTTCTTGTTCCATTCTGACTATAAAGAGCTAAAACTGCCCGAAACGTCGTTTATAGGTCGAGCAGTTCTTGTCCGTCTGTTCCAGATGCAAAACATTAGCTTCCGAACTTCGAACATGCTAAGAAATCAAAACTTCGACTTTTACCCTTCGCTTCCCCACCCTTCCCTTTTTTTCTCAATCTTTTCTTGCCCCCCCTTTTTTCTTTTGCTGGGAATTTACTAGGCTTCAATTTTTCGGAAGGCTTTTAGAATTTTTTTAGAATTTTATCGCAACTTTCGGGTCAAGGTTACATGGTGTTTTCTCTTTTGTACGGCCTCCTTGACTGAATCGTGTTCATTCTCGAAAGGGTTGAAAAAGCTCTTTCCCTTGCACGAGTTAGATGACAAATTTGCCCTTGACCGTTAAAACTGATGACATCATAAGAGGTACAAGGGAGGTGGGTCGGCATGAGTGGTTATGGTTACGGGCGGTTTAGGGACGAATGGGTTAAGCCAAAATTGAGTTAGTTACTCTGGCCAATTAAAACGAGAATAGAGACATCTCAAGAACCAGTTATCGAGCGTCAAGAACGGGAAGACACAAGTAAGCAGGTTATGATCATAGTGGGTTTTGCTTTTTCTCCTTGATACATGTCACGCTCAGGAAAAGGAGAGGCTACTCAGCCAATCAACTCGTTTAGAAATGAAAAACCTAAGCAAGTAAATAGTTGCGCCTAGTTGCAAAATAGTTTCGACATTTAATCGAAGGCCGGTCAAATCAATAAGTAAGAGGTATACGTACCGCCTGTCGTTTTAGAAAGTTTCCCATTGCTGTTTGAATCAGTTTGTTCTAAGTGAAGTGACTCCTCAGATCCCTTCCTACCATATTTCTTCCGTTATTGCAATATCAAGGGACAGATTCTGCCCACTTTTCCCAATATCATTTCCTTTAATACTAGTTGGGAGAATACATCGATCACGGTAGTTTCTCTTTATTAACGGTCCCCTTAATTATCATGACTTGTTTTGTTTCATTATGGCCCATTATTGAGGGGGGAAAGATAATAATTTCTTACTTTTCTTTCTCTAGGCTTTTTGTTCAGCATTGGTGGTCATACAATATTATTTTCACACTGCACTATTTACTTGGATGTTGGTGGAAGGAGTAAACCTTTATATTAAATTGGTCAAAGTTTACTCTCTTAAAGAACAGTACGCAGGATACGCAGGAATGGGATGGGGTAAATACGCCACAGAATTTTCAGCTATGTAACATAACTACGCAGGAAGCAAAATACTTCAACGATAGAGATAACTTTTCGATTCTAAAGGCTTTAGAGTAGCCAAAAAAAAATGACACTCATTTTAACAATATAGAATGAAGCAGAATGTTCGTTCGTCATATCCAGGCTTACTGTACCCTGTTCTGGAGGTTTATTGCGCGTGCCTCGTTAAGGCAGTAAAGGTTAATTTAAGTTAAGTTTAAGTTAATTTAAGTTAAGTTAAGTAGGGCATGGTGGCTGTTTCAAATTCTTGTTTAAAATATCATCTAACTTTTTAAAAGAGTGTTATTGTTTTGTAACAAATATTGTCACGTTATCTTTTCTTCAGGAATCCCGGCTGTGATTGTTGGGTTAGTAGCAGCGATCAGACCCGTCTCATTTGACATGAGTAAGCCTTCGACTGTTGATGTCACATGTGGATCATTACATCTGACCGCAAGGGCTAAGCGAAACAGGTGCGGCGATAATTTAAATACAGTAAAGTCGCCCATGTTGTGTATAGGAAAATTCGCGAAAATTACTACTCAAGCAAATTGCAACATGGGGAGCTTGAAAATCGCAAATATATATAGAAATATGGGGCAATGTAGTTTGCATACCGCTATAATCCACGCGCGATCCGCGTGCGACAACTCTGCTTCGCGAAGAATAACGGCGCCTCATCAAAACTTACGTTGAATAGTTCAGTTCCATATTTGTGTTCCAATAGCCCATTTTACAGTTAAAGGTGGAAACGAGGCTGGAGTTGACCTTGTTTTGATACAACCCTTCTTGCTTTATTACGTAAATCATATTGTTGTTATGCTAACTAGTAGTTTTAAGCAAAATTTACGTAAAAGGAGGGAGGTTTGTATCAAAACAAGGTCAACCTCAGCCTCACGTTCACTCAAAGGCTAGGACACCAAGCCCACAACTGTAAAATGGCCTTATCGTCAAAGCTATTTTTGATAGGTTATTTTCCAATAAACTTCTGACGATTACTCGAAATG